TATATCCTGATTTTATCTAACATTTGATCATGGTTACTTATAGCAACAATCTCGACAACATTGAAAACAATAAATAATACATATCGATAAAAATTGCAAGATTATTAACCACAAAAAGGTCGCATTTATAAAATAACAAATCAGAATAGACGCAACGTTTGTTTTACATCAGCTTAATAATGTTCGTATCGCTTAGTACCCATGTTCATCTTTATTGCAGAACACCAGCTCATTTTTTAACCCATTTAGACATTTGCGATATTCATTAATTAATGTTGAGACATCGTGAATTATTTAAAAACGCGTTAGCAGTATCATATAAAAAACGTGGAAAGTAGCAAAATTACAAAGCATAGAAGTGGGGTAAAAGTATAAATAAAGACAATACAATTTCTTCCTCTAAAGTATGCCACATTTCATCAAATGGCAAAAACGAATGAACCGTGCTCCACTATTGAGCTCATGAAGCTTTTCGATTCGTTCAGCTTTTGTTGCTCGAGCTTCTGACGCTGTTTTTAATAAGTTGAGGTTTTTTTGGTTCTCGTATTCATTAGTCTGATTCATCGCTCATCTTATTGTTATATATATATTCGATCTACTATGTAAGAGAATATTCTAGCGAGGGGTAAGTTGACTGACTGAGGGACTAGGGGCGTGTGGCAAGATGAAACCGCCTCAGGGCTTACTCTCCGTCCGACACATCCTGTTCATTTATGTCGTTTATTCCAATGTTCTTCTTTCAACTGTTCTATTTTTTTCATTACGTTTCGTCAAATTTTTCTAATTTTAGATTTCAACTCGCTCCCCCGATACCAGACTGAACATCTGTCTTCCATCGTCCTTGCAAGCAATGTATTAATTTTGTAATCTCGGTCGAATATATGACTTTCCGGTCGATTGCGATCCCAAAATATCTACGAGATAATTACAACTAGAAAAATTCCTTTTCCCGTTTCTCTTTGACGCCACCCCCTGTCGAATTTGTTATGTTTAACGTTTGATGTAATCTCCGTAGGACGGTTAAACACTGACAATATGTCACATCGTATCTCTCTAGCTACAGTTCCAGGTGTCGGCCGAGTTTCCTCTTTACTTTCCCTGACAAGCACTTCTTCTATCTTTTTTCTCCTTACTCGTCCTCCATTTCACGCTGTTTCTCTTCCTGCACCGTTTGCCGCCGTCAGTGCCCACTGCTCAGTTCGCAGACTGCATTTCATATATCTCTGCCTTTTGAGTGTCACCTTGACTTGCTTTTCTTTTGTTGTTAAACATTATCAAACAAAATTTCGTCACTTTTTCTCTCTCGCTCCCATCCTTCTCTCGCGAACTCTCATTCTCAACTTATGCATCTGTTCATGCCACTTTCATTACTATTATTTCATCACCATCCTCTTTATGACTAGGGCGGCAGTGTACTATGTATATATGTATATATATTTTTTATGATAATATAAAATAAAATTAAAAAAGAAATATCAGTTCATATATTTCGCCGGCGACTGATATTAATCTGACGTTAGGGAATTACTATATATATATATATATATATATGTGTGTGTGTGTGTGTGTGTGTGAGCGTGTGAGTGTGTGTCTGTGTGTGTGTGTGTTCATTGCGGGTGTGAACACAGTTTTACGCAAAAACTTATTTCCTACAATTCTTTTTTCCTATTTAGACTCCCACGAGATCTTTGTATTTGGTTGTATATTAGTTTGATAAGCCCCCCTTTTTATGGTCGTCTTTCTAGCTTACTCATTTCTTTTATTTTGACTTTTCCATTTTTCTGTACTATTAATATTACACATAGCAGCTGTACAATGAGAGTAGAATAGATCTGGAATGTCGGAAATTTTCTTGGATGCTCAATTGTGATTTTCGACGCGTGATGTTTCGAGTGTTTTGCTTGCTCTTGCTTATGTACATTCTCCTTAGGGAGTTTCTCCATCACTGATAATTGTTAATGTTGATATCGCTGCTGCTTCTGCCGTTTCTGCTACGATGATTATTATTCTGCATACATATACATTTTGTGTACCTGTATACATAAAACGTATGTAAAGAATATTCTTCGTATTTTCAATCGCTCGCGATTGCTAGATATACACAAACGACTGAAATTCTCCACCCCTAAATCTCATTCATTATTGGTTATTGTCGTTGTTGTCGTCGCCGCTGCCTTTTCCTTGCTCTGGTTTTTGTTAAAAATTAGCTTATCTAAGATGGCCACCACCGCAACTTTGCTTCATAGTCGCCACGTTGATGGCCCCATGCGCAGGCATTCCCAACTGTCTGTCTGTTTGTCTGTCTGTCAACCGAGTTTACCGCATGTTACGTATCAGTTATATCATTAGACAATGTTGAATAGAGATTTACGTAAGCTTCAGCGATTGCGTGTCGGTGTACGAGTTGCTTTCGCGCTGCTATTTTCTGCATTTTGATCATCAAGAACGTCGTCATGTTTGCCCTCATGAACCTGTTCAGTGAGTGAGTGAATGAGTGAGTGAGTGACTAAATTGGCTCGTCAGTTTCAGTATGTGACAGCGTATGTTTTTTTTTCATATTTGTGCTCGTTGCTCTTCAAAAGTATTACAAATATCTTCTTTCTTTCATGATTACTATTATTATTATTATGTTGTTGTTGTTGTTGCTGAAGTGTTTTTGGTGTTATGTGTCAAGAATGCGCTAACTCTACGTCCAGAGGGAGCGCGGGCAGCGCGCAAATAGCATTGCACGTTGCGGAACGTTGAACGGCGCGCATTGAATTACGTTACGTGTTCCCCTACGTAAGTGGTTCATCATTTTGATGATAATTAACACACTATGTAAGTGACAGGTTACGTAGACTTGCGCCACTACAACAGAGTCAGCGAACAGCGTAAACTGAGAAGATTGGAACTAAGGTAGGTAACAATAATGACTGTTACATGCGGTGTCGTCGTCATTTCGGCCTCTGAGACGAATGATGGGTCCCGTTTTAGCTCAAGGACTCAATTCCGATCTTGCTGCTTTTATTGTTATTATTGCTGATCTTTTCCTTTTCCAATTCCGCTTTATCATCTGCTTTCGCCTTTAATCACTTCAAACTTTTTCCACTCGTTTTTGATTTTGTTGTTATCGTATTGATGTCACTATCGTAATTCTGTTGCCGGGGTAGGCAGCATCGGGGTTGTTGGGGTTCAAATAAAGCTAGAGGCTGTTTTGGTGTCATTGTCACCATCATCATCGCTATGTATCAGCATCAGTATCAGCATAATCATAACTATGTGTTCTTCACCTTTGCTTTATTTCTCTCCCTGAAGGTTTCTTGACGGCACCTTGGCACTCTGTCCATCTCTTTCCATTTTCTTCACACTCTTCCACGTTCTCGAAGCTTCACTTTCTGCTTTTTTTGGGTTATGAAATTCTTCATCGCATAACTTCGAAAGCAGACGATTTTGACTACTTTTTCCTTTATAATTACAGCATGCAAAAACAGCTATAATAATATCTTCGTTGTCTCAGCATAATGCTCTTCATCTGCTATTCAACGTTCTAAATCGTAATTATCGCCGATATCATACTGGTTGGCGTTGTCTTTTGCATTCGTGCATTTTTCCGTGCGTCGTCCGAATACAAAACTTGCTACATGATTCAACAGGCTCAATACTTCGTTACAGCTCCTTTCATTACTAACTGCTTAATTCTTCATGCAGACTTGATGCTGTCTATTGATTTAGCTGGCAGCCATTGGTCGTCGGTTTACTATAAACGCAACCCTTAACAACTTTGCTAGAACAGGCAAAGGAGTCGCGGATAAGTCTAGAATCTATCGTCGAGCTGGTGTTTTTCTTCTTCTTTTTCTGGTGCTATTACTGCGGCACCTGTTGTGTCTATGTGTACACTGTGCTCTCGTCCTGTTGTTATACTGAAAGGACATGGCCAACTTAAAGGCGTCCTGCATTATATGAGTGTTCGCCTATTATGTGCTATTCTTGATACCTCGTCAAACCGTTTAGTCACTTGTTAAGTTAGGAGTTGAACCGTACCTACCAGTTCAACTTTATAAAGCCAAATACTAATAATTGTTGCTGGAAACTTGTTGATTTTTGTTGCGCCTGATTAAACATCAACGACCATTTTTTTATGAATATCGGTATTGCCAACAACGGAGCAAAACTCCTCGAATGATATTCGACCATCTTCGTCTTTGTCAGCAAACAAGATCGTCTTGTCGACAATCTGTTGTAGCTGCGCTTCTTTTAAGTTGTTGCCAACCATCATCTTGAGAACATGAAAGAGTTCGCCATTTGAGATAAAGCCATCATTGTCCATATCATAGATCCGAAACGCGAACCGGAGCTTTCCTTCCTTATCTCCCTTTACGCTGAACTGACTGACCCCCTGGATAAACTCTGAAGAAAACAAATAAAGTGAAAATAGAAAAATACAAACCGCTCAACAAAACGTATGATCAGGTTGTTACGAGCAAGAATCTTAGAAATGAGACTTGCGTAGGGGGCTCAACTTGTTTTAAAGCCGATGATTTACAACCAGATCAAACTCCTAGCAACCGTCTATTGCTTTATCACATATAAGCGAAAATTAACGCTGCAAAAACGCGTGCCCAAACATTCAAAGACAATAAGTTTCTGCAGTGTCTGTAAACCTGATTTGATGAGTTAGTTACCTTTAAAGTCGACCTCGCCGTTTCCGTCTGTATCAAAGATGTCGATGACACGTTGGACGAGAGGATTCTGCTGCAGCTCGGGCAGAGACATAAACTCGTCGATGGACAGCGAGCCCGAGTTGTCCAGGTCCAGCTTCTTGAACCGTTTCCCCAGACGCTTGATTTCCTCGGCGTCAAACGTCGAGCACATCTCCATCGGTAGCGACGTCTCGTTTCCCTGCAGGACAACAGATTCGTATATAAAAGCAAAAAGTAAGCACTATAATAACATTCTTATAATGACTTGTACAGGATTGTTGCAAAAAACATATGTACCACACGAGGGTCTTAAATTTGCAATTAGCAGCTTCGCGGTCAGGCATTTACTTGTTTCTGCTACAAAACCACTAAACTTTTTCTCTCGCGAAGGATAATTAGGTGAAATTGCAATTAGAAACGAATGCCTTTGAACGCGATATTATATATTATCCATCAAAAAATGCGTCAGAGATTAAAGAGCCACCAATGTAGATATGCACCACACCCAAGTTTCACTGTTTTTGAGCTCTTACTCCTTACGATTGCAAATACCTGTGTGCGAATGTGTTGCTTCCGCCGCACACATACACCAGATTTTTTATTTTGAATATTTAGGGTGACAAATTATATCACTAAGTACGTAACGATTTCGTATATTTCTTTTTGGTTCCAAGTTAGATCTCGATCAAGAGATGCTTCAGTTAAGTTGAAACACTTTATTACAAGATATGTACACAGAAAATATAAAAGTATTTTAAATATTGTAATAGTAAACAGATAAGATGCGAAAATATGCATTGAGAAATCCCACTCGCTAAAATAATGTACCTGCTACTATGTATCTCTAAGGATTCCGGCCGCAGGCCATAGCTCTATTCGGAATTGCAATTGTTAAGAGAATATATTCAGAATGATTTTGTTTGATTAAATCGATCCATTTCTCCTCCTGCCGTAATATATTTTACAAAACAGGTATTTTATTATAGCTCTCGTTTTCTTGAAACAAAAAAAAATGCTGGTTTTAGCTACGCCCCAAAACACATACATTATTATTATTTGTATAAATTCCGTTCATAAAATGTGTGTAATATCTCAACGGCCCTCTATATAAACTAAACAAGAGAAACTAAATCGTCATTCAACATTCCGTAACGCTTGCCACTACAAAATTTACTCGGACTAAACCTCATTGGTCGATACCGACTTTATAAACTGTATTTGTTTTGTAAATATGTAATATGTACTTGAAGAAACCTCAAAATAATGTTCGCCTCATTGCTTGATCGTATTCCGACCTCGATGGGAACGCATATTATACACGCTGAGAAACATGCTATGAAATTGTTTTTTTGAATCTTTGCGCTCTATGAGTGCTACCATAATACCTAATTATTGTAAGTTATTATTAAATAGATTATATATTACGTCATAAGAAGATCATTCTTTATCCTAGTTACTTGTTCGGGTAGCCTGTTGAAGCGTCATACGACGAACTTGAAACTAAGCCGTCAATGTTTGTGAAAAAAAAAACAGAATCTTCGAAAGTTGAATTAGTACAGACTGCCAGTCGAGTGATAAGCATGACTTTTTTTTTTTGATGAAAACACCCACAACTCCATTAACAGATTAACAAACAGTTCTTCTCCGGCAGCATACATAATCTCCTCTTTCGAGTAGGGAGTTTTAATGAAATGTGCGAAACATTAGAATGGAACAAATTCTATTCATATTATCGATATAGAGAGACGGCCGATGCAACTGAAACTAGAAACCTCGAGGACGCAGTAGCATTCGACTATAACATCAGACAGCTCGTCCTCGACAGACAGACAGACGGTGCTACCAACAGTTCCCAGTCACTGCCATTACTGCTACGACTGCTTCTAGTGCCGCTGTTGGCGGCTTAGAGCAGGGCGACTTGCGCAGTGAGTTACGCGGAGCGGATCATTTACCTTGCCATCATTACCGCCAGCATTAAATACGCGTAATTTCTACGCGGACCCGAGCAGCAGCGACAGCGGACAGCAGCAGTATATGCAGGTGGGAGATTTTACGAGGACTACATATTTTAATAAAACGCCTCGTAAACAAAAATCATCTTAACGGAGTATGATGAGTATCCGGAAGAATATCATCTGAGTGACCAAAGCTATTACGTACCATTGTGGCGACTATGTGAAGCAAACCGAAGCAGCGAAAAAAAGCACAATCAATTTCTGTTCTGTCCTGTTGTGTGAGTAATGTGTCGTCGATTCCGTGTTTACTGCAGTGAATGATGTGCTGATCTGTGCCGGTCGCTTGTGTGTGATTTCCAACGGGCGAACGGGTAACGCCGCCGCTCACCGCAACGACTCAATTCGGCTGCCCCGGCACGTCAGAGTGGCTGAGCCTACATGAGACGCGACAGTGGGACTGGGGGAAGGGATTACTGCTTGTTGCGTCCTCGTCTATCGTAGACATTGGGAGGAGACGGGGAGTAGTAGGCGGTCAGTTAAGGAGGGCCCAGTGGGCTGCGGCACTTAACAACCAAATTGTCTTCAAGAATAAAATCGTTCTCCATGATATGGACCTGAGGATGTGAAAAAAAAAACGTTCAACTTTATAAATAGATATAGGTGTGGATAAGTGATGTAAGTTACTTAACCACCGAAGGTTAATCGATGCTTAGTACCGTACATAATATACTATAGACACCACAAACTGATGTATTACGGTTATTAGAAAGCCAGTGTGCATTTGTCGAACCTTGAGCACACAGGCCCTATATTAATGGATGAAGTACTTTTAAATTTAATAAAAATATGGATTTGTAATCAATATTTAATTGCTATATATATATATATATATATATATATATATATATAATATTTAATAGCTAATTGGGAGTCCTATAATGTGTCATGATGTTAAAATTATATGCACATTGAGATTTACTACTACTAGAATCAAGCGGTAAGTTTGACATAAGAGTAACTTGATTAACTCGTTTATTTGCTTATTTAGGGGCCTAACCTAAATGGGAAGGAAGGGGAAATTGAATTTTTTTTTTGTAAACGCGTGTATGAAGCTCGTAGGCGAAGTAAATTATCGTTTACTGATTACTACACAAGCTTTGGCAAACCTGTTGAAAAGATACTATAATGGTATCTGATTATATTTATCGAAATACACGACTCGCCGAATAAATTACTATTTATTAGAGATAACCTTAGCGTGACGTTTGGTATATTTTTTTATTAAATATAGAATTTTTTGATTAAATATATATAATAGACTACTACGAAAGTACGAATATTTGTACAACAGACGGTAATCTTGTATCGAAACAATATCAGATAGGTGAATTAGAAGAATCATGAGAGTAAGGTTCAAAGTAAGTTTTATTTACATTTCGGAACTCTGCTATTGGATTTCTGAAGAAATAGCTTACTCCTTTTTGAGTAGGAAAAACTATCAATTAATAGATAAATAGCATGGGCATCGCGCGTTTGATAAGGCTTGTTGTTTCGACATAAGATACATGCTCCCGTTAATCATAGTGTCCTAAACGTTGAAGACAACTCTTCCGGTGTCTAACAAAGATGTTTGATTCGTGTAAGATTAACGTTTGCGCGTATGTAATGTGTAAGAAAAATGAAAACGGAATTCAATAAGAAGATCGTATGAGTGACCTCAGACATTTTCATCTTCATCAGCATATCCTCATCATTTTCAGCGACAGCATCTTCTTCGACATGATCACTGTGAACACTTGTTGTGATCAGTTCGATCTGCGTTAATCCGAAATTGTCGCCTACCAATATAGTTGCACGATTTCGGCTCGTCTACGGCTTTTTTGTGCGAAACCTATTGATATCACAATGAATAGAATCGAATGATCTTTATCGATCGATAGCCGCTCTTAAAGCTTGTGTCGCATCCTTCAGACGATCTCAGTACCCACCTCACGACTTCATACAATAGAATCAAGTTGGGTCGTAGGAAAGCTACGGCTCCGAAAGTGCAGAGAGACAGCAAATGTGCGCGCTCGTGAGATGTGTCCTGAGGCGATCGACATCGACCTCCCGCGATGCCTCTAACAAGACCACCCCAGAAAATTTCATTTCGGAACTTCATTCTCAGTGAAGCAGCTATTCTCCCATAAAAAAAAAAAACAAGAACAAAGCTGGTTCAGAAAATGAAACACATCGTCCACACGGACGATGTGTTTCATTGTCAAATTCAATGTCACCTCCCTAACGTCTTTGCTACTAATTAGGTAAATGTACCTCTTTCCAAAAACCACGAACATTTTGTTAGGGTTAATACATTTATTCGAAGAGACAAAAAATAGTGATTGTCTTTCATGGAAAGTAGCGTACATTTCCGTAGCAGTTTGTCGAAACGTATCACACACGCTGATCAAACAAGCTGTTATTTCCGTCCGTGTGCATATTATGTCCGTGTGCAAAGACCGCCCCATTTATTTCGTTATTATGAGAAGGCTATATGAGAAATTACTTAAAAGAAACGTCTATTTGAAATTTAAATGTGCAAAAAAATATGTGCACAAGAAATGGTTGTAATACTTATATTAATGTTCCGTAAATATATTTTTATTTTATTATAGAAAACAAATTATAATATAGAAAAATGTGCTTGGCAATTTTATGAGGGACGCAGTGCTTAACTGTAATAGCCGCACGAAAAGCGCTAAATTCAGTTGTTTCGAATGTTTTTAGCGGTTTACTGTACGAGCTTGTTTATTATCGTATATACACATATAGACAATTGGCGATCCGATAATGGAGTAGTCTTCTATGCGCAATGATTTAAACCTGATTCACTCAAGCACAGTGACTTGAGACATGTGGACGGTAATCATTGGCATCAATACAAGAAGAGCTGTATGGTATTCTGTATGGCATGTCCTATGATCATTCAGTTAGTACCGCAGTTACTTGAAGAAAGATTAAAGTCCATGGCTCTTTCACATAGACATAACTGACACATACTGAAGACTCATACTGAAGGGATGTGGATACATTCAAAAAGTAAGTTTTTAGTAGACAATAAACAAGCGGAAATCTAATTATGTACGACATATATGCATGCATATGTTAACTGTCTCCTCAGGTCTCGGCTAAAAACAAACTCGAATCACCTTAGACCAAGGGCAAACTTAGAGTTAAATTAGTTTTCGTAATAGCCATGTGCCTCTGCACAATTCGTGTGCAAATGCTACGAAATGCACCATCGCAGCCATTAGTTGTGGCCATTTATGGCCTGCTTAGTTAACTATCGCCAAACAGCCTACGATCCTCGCCTGAACATATGTAGTTTAGGTCACCTCTATTTATTTCCTACTCATCGTCGACCTGCGAGACGATCTGCTCTCAATTGAATGGCACGTTATGAGGCTAAGGCACAAAGCGGGCTTTTTAGAAAAAAGTGCCGCTTTAAAAGCGGAAAAAAATCGTTTATTTGTAAACAGCAGTCCGCTTTGACCGACGGTTAGTGGTAGATTGTGAGATGTAAAATTGACGACCCCGACGTTGCTGGTGTAAGAAGTTAGAGGGTTAAAGTAAGTTAAGTGCCTAGCTAGTCTAACATTTATGAACTGACGGCTCTTAGCCCGAAATGAGGTCTTCGGCCAGGTTAACCTCAGAGACCTCTCATTCAAGCCTGTTTCGCTGGAAGATCGCACGATCCTAGGGTCGCAAGTTCTCAACGCTTACCGGGAAAGAGTGCGGAACATGAGCCAAAAGCCCTCACAAAGAGATAGCAAAAATAAATCCGTTAGCCAGTCACGATACGATCTGGTTCTCAGCCCAGGGATACGCCATAGGCACGCGAAACTAGACTAAGTCGTATCTGTACATATATCTCAATACAAAAGTCTTGACTTCTATGCATAGATACTTTGTTTTCAACAGAAAGCAGATTATAGGAAGGTACAAGTGCGTGCTTAATCAAGATCAAAGGACAACTGTTTACTTTGATAGATAGCGCAAGTTACGAGAAGTTAATTGCAATAATTTGTAAGTGTGAAGTGCACGTTTATGACGGTCCTAGTACCGCTTCTATATATTGCTTCGGCAATATAATATTTCAGATAAGCACAAAATCTGAACAAAATTGCAAGTTCCGACGTGGCTTAACCTATATATGTATATATAGAGGTTATAATTCTTCAGCTATATCTGGCAGATAGCATGTCGGCCATAGGCTTTGTGGTTGGCGCAACACGTAGTCGTTCCGTCAATATCAGTTTCTTAACTGTCGGGCGGTTACGCCTCCGCTAACCATCGAATCCGCCTTCGACGCTGTTTGTTATTCTTTTCTGTCGCTGCCTGTTCGTCACTTCACAGTTACGGTACCGTCGTTCTATTACGATCAATTGCTCGGTCAAACTGTCTCCACTTTTGAGTTCATCAAGTCGACCTATACAATGTTTGCAGTTCAAGCATTATATATACAGAGCTTTCGATAGCCTAACAGCAACCTTCATTCCTAACATAACCTTTTTGACGGGCCCGTTGTAAGACAGACTGAAGATATTACGCGCCACTTATTAAGCATTCGTGTAGCCTGGTCTGCACTCTACGGGTTACAGGGATTGCCGTAGCAATCTAACGTCATTTAGCTTAGCGTAAGCACTTTGCCGCAGTTCGTATATTACTTGTAACCATTGAATGGCATTTTCTGTGGTGATCTCTATTTTTTTCTCGTTATTGCGTTCCCTTGTTGGCCGACCTGTGCTGGTCCCTTTCAGCTGCGACGCGAGAGGTCTTTCAGGTTGACTGTAGCCGGCAGTGGGATTCCCGTCTTTTTCTTAGCTCTTGTAGTGTCTCTAGTGCGGAGGAGGCCCAGGTCATGGGTCAGCGGCACGCCCGCACAACATTCACGGCGACAACAACGACGAAGAAGATACATATATATGTACGTAGACATGCGCAGGGGTATATTGCCCCAATCAACCATCTCGCTAGTGTACAGCATATATTTCTAGCCACTTAGTAACACTACTTGGATGCGTGCGGCAACGTTACGGCGATCTGGCCTCATCCCTAGATCGGCCCTACGATTCTATCGGCGGCAACGGCGACGGCAATAGAAAGGCAGGCTGCTGCGTGACAACAGCCGAAAAACACGAGACCATGTTCGATTAGTCTGTTACGTCAGCAATACTACCAAACGCTACGCCCAATCCCAGCCGCAATGATCTGAAGTTGAACAGACTACGCAACTATGCCTGACTCTCTGCCGATTGTACAGAGGTACCGTGGCACTGCCGATACCGCCAGCGTTGGGTAGGAGCCTGCAGACAGCAGCAAAGCTTCGTAGCACTAGAATTTTTCTCGTTCTTTTATTTTTGCTGCTGTAGTTATAGGAAAGTAAAGTTAGCGGGTCGGTCTGACTCTCTCTTTCGTGACGTAACTGCAGACGGACATATGTATAATGCTCGCGGTGATGTCCATAGCGTCTGTGGTGCGTGGCCCAGCGTCGTACGTTGTGGGTTTCGTTTGGGAGTGAGAATGGTGCGTCACGACCTTACTACAAGCGGAATTTCCTGTTAAGTGCCTTGATTCTGTTGAACGTGCACGATGGCATGCAGCATTAAGGTGAACGTACTATACGGTACGATACGACGGGCATTACGTGCCACACGAAGCATATGCCCGTTAAATGGCCACGGTCAAAGAAGATATCCAAGGATTAATAATGCCTATTGTCAATCAATAACTAACCATGTGTATAATCTAAACTA